ATACATACACACACAAAAAAAAAGTTAAGATATTTATACTACTAATTGCTCTTAGTTCATTGAAAAGAGAAGTTTGTGCTAATATTGTTTGGACAATTAAATGCCTAAATCTTGTACCCTGAGTAACTAGCTTAAAGATAACAATATACAATGTATTAATCATTGTTATTCTCCTATTATCTTGTTTTGAAATTTTGTTTTCTCTTCAAAATAAAATTAGAAATAAATGAATAAATAACTAGAAGGTACACTGAGTCGGTATGTGCATGACAGGGTAACGAGTGCCCCACCTAAACACCAACAATTATGAGAAGCAAATGAAACAGTGTATGTGGGAATACCTTAGCAATACACATGGCGCCATCGGATCTCCACCTGACCTACAGGGATGGAGCCAATCCAAGTATACCCCGAGTCAGGGGTCAGCAAAATACCGGCTCCCGGGACACAGCCCAGGACACACTGTCCCTGGTGCCAGTTTCTACAGTCAGGGTTAGAGGACGGAGCCACATGGCCCACCCTCTTACTGCTTTCCCAGTGATAGACCCACAGGCGCCACAAGGCCTGAGGTGGACACAGCCACTGAAATGTTTACCGCATACGGAAAAGTCTGCTAGCCGCTGTCCTAAACCAGGAACTGTTTTTCACCAAGCATTTCATCCTTCAGATTCTGGGGTACACACAATTAAACAAGTTCAAGTTCGTGGCATTATTTATTTTGCATTTCAGGAGTGAATAAGGACTTTGTATAATCTTTTATCAGACTAGATTCACCTAGAATTAAAGAACAGCAGAATTAGTATCACACGCCACACGCACAACATTATCAAAGTACTCTCACACCTTTCAGAAACTAGTGTGTCTGCAGGGATATGCGTGTGAGACTCCAGAGAAGTTTCTCCTCCCGGCAGCGCCGTGCACAGCACTATCAAAGCATCTCACTGCACACCTGAGAAGTACATTTGCCAATCGCATCTCAACAAAGCTGGGGGGAAAGAACATAAATTTGCCACGTTCCCTTTCTTCTTGGAAAGAATACTTCCCAGAAATTACCCAAGCAGTAAGACATCCTCTTTATACACGGTCTGCGTTTCTCCTGGTGTAAAGCAGGGTGGAGCCTCTGATAAAGTCCCTTTGAGGTGAACGAGCACAAGTTCAGGGCTGAGGTTTCTGTGGAGGGTGCCGAAAATATCCTGTATCTCACTAGTGCCGAAGGTCACACAACTTCCTGACTGCACGGAAAAGCTCTGAATAGTGCATTTTAAAGGGGTGAGTTTCCCGTTATGTGAAGGATACCTCATTTCCGCTAAAGGAGGCAATAACCACCACTGCAGCACAGGCAACAGAGGTAAAAATAAGTGGAACTATGCAAAAATGAGACTCCCGCGCACAAGGACACCAGCACCAGAGCGAAGGGCTCCCAGGGTAGACAACTCACAGCCACACGTCTTTGGAGGTCTGACGTCCCGAACACGTAACACAGTCCCACAGCTAAGAGGAACTTCATGCTGAATCCACCTTTCTCCAAAGAAGATGCATGAACTACCAACAAGCACATCAAAAAATGCTCCACATCACTTATCTCTGGGGAAAGCAAATCAAAGCCACAAGGTATCACAATCTCACACCACCAAGAGAGCCAGGATGAACATGAAAGCACAGAACCACAAACAGCAAGTGCCAGCGAGATCAGAGAGAGACTAGAGGTGCGCGCTGCTCCTGCAGTGTGGCTCAGAAAACTAAGAGGAAAGCCTGGGGTCATAACCCCAACATCCCGGGAGGCAGAGGCAAGACGATCCAAAGTTCAAATCCAGGTTGGGCAACTTAGCGAGACCATCTCATGATTTAAAAAAAAGAGAATAAGATAGAAAGGACTAGGGACGCAGCTCAGTGGGATGGCTCAGTACCACAAAAAGGCAACATATCTATATACATGTACACATGTATGAGTGCAATATGTACACGCACGCACAGTGCAGTACCATTCAGGGTATCAGTCAGCTTTCCCTGGGACAAGCTGCCCACCACTTGGAGAGAGAGGAAGGGTTTATGCGGCTCAAGGGCTCACAGGGTTCAGTCCATGGGAGGCTGGCACAAACATGGTGGAAGGAATGGCAGGCAAAAGCTGCTAAGTTCACGGCGGCCAAGGAGCAGAGCGGGGGACAACGTGAGAGAAGGGGTGGGGACAGACACAGACGCCAAGGCCACACCTCTAGGGCCCACTCAAACACCCCGGAAGTGGGCTTGGTCAATCCCCTGGGCAGCTCAGAAGTGTTAAAAAGGCAGGAACTCCCAGCTACTGCGTAGAAGAGCCCTAGGGACACCCTAGGAAGTGGGGCACCACTTGTATGAGGCCACTTACGCAAGGCGGCCGGAGCAGTGACACTCAAGGGGGTGATGTCAGGAGGCAGCATGAGGAGGGCACAGCGGGTGATTCCACGGGTACAGATGCTCAGCTCTGCAAGATGAGGAGTTCCGGTGCAGAACAGTGTGACTGTAGCTGACACTACTGAGCTATACGCTCAAAGCTCCTTGCCATGAGCCAGGTGTGGTGGGGCACACCTATAATCCCAGCACTCGGGAGGCTGAGGCAGGAGGATCGCCACGAGTTTGAGGCCAGCCTGGGCTACCTAGTGAGACCCTGTCTCAAATAAACAAACAAAAAATCCTTACCATGGTAAATCTCTACAGATTTTTTTTTTCTAAAATTTAAAGGGCAATCCACTGCACCTCAAATAAGAAAACTCATTTTTAGATGGAAAAATAAAAAGACCTTATAGTTCCTGTTCCAACAACTCGACTCTGCTGTCAAAGTAGGTAAGCAGCATAACCGAATGCAAAGCACTGGGTTCCATCACAAGGTTACTTACGGAGCGGGGCACCTGTGACCCCAGCACTCGGGAGGCCTTGGCAGGATGTGATATACCCAAGCTTGGGGCCAGTCTGGACTACACGGTGAACCCCCGTCTCAAGAAACCAAAAAAAATTCCTTTTGAACTAACTTTTGTCATTTGACAAAAATATACAAGGATCTCAAAATCAGCAGGCACAGCAAAATAAGCCAGATCACAGTATCTCACCTCCCAATTACCTGGGATCTAAAAACGACGGCAATAAAATGCAAGGAAGACTATCATGAGAGAGGAGGGGCAGAACGCGGAGGGGAGTGAGGGTGGCTCACGGGGGGAGGGACAGGCTCGACGACACCACACCCCCTGGAACCTCCCAAAACGTGAAAGTGTTGCGGGGGGCGGGTCACGTACGTCAACGCCACAGACAAACAAGGAAACCGGCCCGTCTGCGCAGCGGCGCTACTTAATACGCTACTTAATACGTTTCTTTACTCGGCCGAGCGCCCCCCAGCGAAGCCTTCCCAACCGCGCACCGCAGAACCCCGCGGGCCTGACGCGGAAAACCTAACACAGACGCCGGGGCCGCACCGCGAACTCCTCACGGCTGGGGCG